GTATTTACAGGGACATGTGGTTTCAGCATGATGGCTGCCCGGCGCACTATGCACTCTCAGTCAGAGAGTATCTCGATCAAAACTTTCCAGGTAGATGGATAAGGCGGTCTGGTACAATACCGTGGCCAGCCCGATCACCTGATTTGAATCCTTTAGATTTTTTTACTGGGGAACTGTAAAAGAAAAAGTGTATTTCAAGCCGCTGAGTTTGTTAATAACCGTGGATTCGCTCGTTTAATAACCCGATCTTTTTTAAGATGTCGAGCGTGTATTGCGGCTGAAGGAAAACAGTTTGAGCATTTGCTGTAAAGGTAAATCATCATCAGCAGCATTTTGACGCCCACTGTTGTGCAAACAGTTATCCTTAAGGGTCCTTGTGCGTTTTCATAATCGCTGTTTAATTAGGAAATTTTTAAAAATTTTCATCAGTTTTTTTCAAATAAAAATTGTGCGTACGTTAACGAGTAATCTTCTAAGTGTTATACCATTTTGGAATCGTTATTAAATGCGCCAACTTTTAAGGTTAATTGCCAAACTCTCGTAGTACATTTTTTCCAGTACAGCCAGTTAAAGTTGAGCAAAGTTTTACTTTGGAATACTTGGTTGGGAAATAAGTGGCAATTTTTCCTGAACGAGAAAAGTTGGCAGTAAGGTTGAGATACCAGTTTGAAGATGCATTATTCATCATTACATTGTAAAAATAAAATCCTAAAAAAGTTAATATTTGTAGTAACAGGAGTTGACAGACGTAGGGTGTGAAATTTCTATATCTTTTTCAAAGACCTATAATTTTCAAAACACATACATAAAATTTTTTTAAATATTTTTCTGATAGCTGTTATGTCTTTGCCCATCACCCGGTTTCGGCTTGACGTCGACTTCTGGGACACCCAGTATATTCGCTTCGATCCTTGAATTTTGGCAAACAGATTTGGCGTAGTTTTCTTGGGCTATTAAGGGATGTTTTGTAAGGCGAGCGGTTTCTGTTCTTGCATTACAGTGGAATCAAAACGCAATCTACGAAAATGATTTTTTTGAAAAGTAATTTAGCATATTCCACAGTTGTTTCAAATTTTGGAAGTGTCGTCCAATATGGTAGATATTCATTGACGTCTGTTTCTATAAGTATAAGCAGTTTGAAAATGATTTAACAGTTTTTTAGCAAATACTTTTAATTACTTCTGATATAGGTAGGCATAGTCTCAGTATGTCTGTAATAAAAGCCTAGACAAATGTAGTGAAAAACGTTTACTTTGGTTGTAAAATGAGAGAGATAAACTGTTTTAGTCCATATTTATTCACAATTTCATTTCAAAAATGCTAGCAATGGCCTGTTTTATCTGAGATTTTCCACATAATCCCTTCTGTCCTTTAATTTTGGCACCAAAATTTTACATATTCTGCGCAATACTTCAATGCTGAAGATTTATCGATAACTTGGTAAATACTTTGACCTACCTAAACGAAATGACCCGTATCTTTCTATATGCTATTACGTACAACCTAACCATGAGAAAATCGGTTCCGCTTGATAACTATAGAACCAACTTCATCAACCATGCATATAGAGCAAAGAAAACATCCCAAAATTCTTCATACCTAATAACTCAGGCACTCCACATCCCTTCGTCTTACCACCGCCATCAATTCGAGTAGATACACCTTTCTACCTTCCCCGAAGAAGAAAAAAGGGCAGGCCGGCAACATTTCACTGAAAAGCTTTTTGCGCCATCAGACAGCAAAAAAACCCTATACCTTTCTTCGCATGAGAACTTTCTGTAACGATCATCCATCACCCGTCGTGGACCCTCCCTTAACATCTCAATGTTACTTTGCTATTTCTGCGGCCATCACAGTCGTTAATCTCGAGAGATGTGGCCCTTTGTGCGTGCCCCGTGAACCGTGAGCCATCACCCTAAGGCATAGCCTTGGGCGATCTTTCGTTTGTAATTGTGGGATATGCATTTTAAAATGGCAGTTATGGCGTATCGTACATCTCTAGTTCAATAGCCGGTTGAAGTATGTGATGGGATACAATGGTGTCCAATTTTTTTGTTGGTGGTATTTGTACAATTGCCTGAGTGGTCCTATAGCTAAATCATTGTACATTGGCATTTGCACATTCAATTTGTTCTGGATCAGAATTTATGATATTATTATTCGGGAATATCTTTGGGAATCCAGCGTATTTACTGGGGTTGCAATAAAGATAAATTTTAACACAACAAATTCATTAAGAAGTCACTATTAGGGATGCAGTGCTGCAGTGGGACTCTGTGTCACATGGCATTCCATCAATTGATTCAATTCCATACGACTGGCACTCCGTGTGCAAAAATAGTCGCATCAAAGTGACAAATAGTGTCGCTTGAAAACCACTTGTCTTGACGTGTGGAATTCTACGAAAAAAAGCTTTCTAACCTCACTTTGCAAATGCTTTGCTGTATGTATATGACCTGACTGCGTCTTCTTCCGAATATTGGCTTTAAATTGTGCTTTAAATTTGGATCAATCATGAGAGTCAGACAAGAACATTGGAACTTGCTACTCGATATTTGCGAAAAAAACCCTGAGGTGATCAGTAATAAATTTAATGGACCTGATGGCAAAGCAAAGGGGCATGAACTGTGGCAAAACATTACCCATAAACTGAATAGTTTGGGATTTGGCGAAAAAAACAAAGAAGATTGGAGAAGGGTAAAAGCTTTAATCAACAATATTTAATTTTGCACTTAATGTATGTATTTCATAGGCTTTGATTGACTGGAAATGTAAAACTAAAGCTAAGGCATCAAAAATCAAACAAGAAATTGTGAAAACTGGTGGAGGTCCAGCAAATTATGTACCTGTCTCTGATGCAGAAAAGCGGCTCCTCAGCCTTATGGGTACAAAGTCTGTTCAAGGAGATGATGTATGTGAAATTAGCTTTGGACAGGTCAGTACTTCATAATGCTACATTAACAAAGATTTATATGAAGATAAGTGTTGAGACATAGCATATACTATAGAGATAAAGCTCTGAAAATACTGTATTTCATTATAGGTAACCACAACATCTAATACAACAGATGTCTTTCACTCAACAATGGAAGCATCAAGCTGAAATGTGATAAATCAAGAAAATAGCCAAAATGATAACATCAAAACATTACCTGATCACAATTATACTCCAACGAATACAAAAACACCCTCAAGAAAACATCAAAGAACATCATATCAGAGAACTTACCAAAGAAATTCAAACAGATTAACAACAATTACTGAAGAATCACTCCAGGTCCTCAAAAAAATAGAAAGTAATACCCAAAGTATTGCAGAGTCATTGAAAATACTTGCTGCTGTTGCACAAACAGCATTTTCAAAAGACAGTTGAGTATATTTTTATTGGTTGACCTGCTTTCACTACATTTTTGTAATACCAAACTAGGCCATATAATCCTCATGAAAATTTATAATAAAAAGTCTAAAACATATTTTGTGTATTCATTTATTATCAATTAAATCAAGACAATTCTCTACAAGAAAGTTGAAAAATCTAAGATTGAATGAAAATCTTGTCTTATGCCACTCAAACCAGTGAAAATATTACGTCTCGTCAATCGAGGCAGCTGCTGGAAAAAAACTAGGCTATTTGTCTAGAGCCTGGAAGTACTTTTCTTCACATAACCTCCTCACTCTATACAAGGCCTCGATAAGACTTAGCCTCGAGTTTTGCTCCCATATTTGGAGAACTGCACCTCCGACCACATTATCCATGCTCGATGCTGTTCAGAGAAGGGCTATCAGGCTGATCGATGACCCTTCTCTGATGGACGGTCTCGAGACCCTGTCGCATCGACGAGATCTCGATGAGCTCTCTCCTACCGCTATGTCAACGGGATCTGCTCCTCGGAGCTCGGCTCCATGATGCCACCGCGCGACGAGCCTGTCAGACTTTGGCCTCCCATCCCAACTAAGTACGTCCAGATTTGGCCGGTACGACAGCTCCTTTGTGCCCAAGATTTTGAGACGGTGGAACAATCTGCCTGAGAAGGCTTTTCCCGATTCAACCAACCTTAGACAGTTCAAGGGTTGGATAAACAAGTTGTCTCTAAGTCCTTCATCATTGCAATTGCGGTGCCATGGCATTTTGGGCTTCTGGCTACGCGGCTGCTTCAGTATAAAAAAATAAAAAAGTTCATAGAATGAGTGATATGCTCATTTTAGAACCACTTCAATCACCATTTTCTAAAATATCTACCACAGTATGTATCCAAATATTTTTTAAATATTTTTACATGGAACTTAACAATTTGTCTTAGTACTTATTCCTATAACATCTTTTCCAAAACTGGCATCTTTGCCCTAAGCAGATTCAAAAATTAACATGTTTTAGTGACAAACAACTTGTAATATGGAAAAGGATAATACATCTTTACAAGATACCTCGCATGATACATATATACTAATTAGTGAAGTATCTGGCAATAATGTTCCTTCTTAGCAAAATCCCATCTTTGTTCGTTCTTTGGTCAAAATTGCCTTGTTCCAGATGATTGTCAGTATCCTGTAGTGGTAGCATCTCCAAATTAAAATCCAATCTAGCAGCTACACATATATTATGTAAAATTGCACAAGCATTTGCAATATTACCCACTTTTTCAGGGCTATATCTGAGCACATTTGATAAACAGAGGAATCTTCCTTTCAATACACCTATGCACCTTTCTACACAGTTTCTTGTCTGAATATGGGAATCTGTGTATCTTCTTTCTGGCGAACCAGGCAATGCATTTTGGATAGGAGTCATCAACCATGGTTCCTGAGGATAACCTGAGTCACCTAAGAGCCATGACTGCCTATCACTTGCATTAAAAAAAAAGTTATCTAAAAATAATTTTCATCTGTGAATGTTACAAAAAGGAATATCAATCAACAATTGTTTTTGTGCATATTTTATATATATGCAATAAGGTCCTTGATTATGAAATACCAAATAACACTGTGAGCATACCTCCACGATAGCAAGCTTCCAATTCATTCCTCACCAATGAATTTCTCCATATATATGAATCATGAGATGCACCTGCAAACCTGGCATTGATATTAAGAATTTTTAGATCATGATCACAAACCTGAAACAGTTTTTGGAAATTATAGAATTATATTTAAATATAATCAATCAACCTTACAATTTGTATATTTTTGGAATGGTAACACTTTCTGTTCAAATAGTTATGCTCTTCCAAAGTTGGCCTTAGTATTTCCACATGTGTGCAATCAATTGCTCCGATTACCCCAGAGAAACCTCTTGCTTCCATGAACCTTTGCTTAATTACATGTTTTTCTAACGCTGTTCTTGGAAAGTGTACCAGTTGTTCAGAAAATGTACTGATAATAGCATTAGTTATTTCATGAATAGCCCTTGAAATACTCTGCTGAGACATTGAAATGTCATAGCTCCTGCCTATCACTCTTTGGTAAGTGACAGTAGCATAAAAATGAAGCGCAGCAAAAAACTTCAGGATAACAGGTACTGCTACAGGATTCGGCACCTGGTTCAAATGAGGTATGATGCCATTTAAAACATATTGGGCCATGTCTTTATTCAGCCTGAACAATTCTTTGAATCTCACATCCTCAAGTGAAAAGGGATCACTTTGATTTCTCATCAATCTCCTCTCCATATTTTCGATGCAGATATCATATCAATGTTTATAGGTACTAGAGCCATTATCTTTCAACAGTGAAATATGCAATCAAAAACTAAGACCAAGGTTTCAAACATATATAAAACACTGCCACAGGTTAATTACAGTCAATGTCAAAAAAGCTAATGCGACACAAACATAAACATAACAAATTAAAAGTTACTAGATATTACTAAAAAATTATGAGATACTTTCATCTTAGATAGTACATTGCCGAAAATACCCGAAGCGTAGTTGACTGTGACACAGAGTGCCACAAAACATGACAGTTGCTTTCTACAGTCGATATCAACAGTGGAAAGCAAGGTCTAGAATTCCATGAGACACGGAGTCCCACTACAGGGCTTGATTTTCAAGCTACTTGACTTGGCTTTACTTGAAATCGAGTCAAGCTCAAGTAAAGTAGTTTTTACGTCAAGTACTTGAGAATTCAGATAGTCTTGATATTACTTGATCATTTTTGTAGTATAAATACGAGAAGATTTTTGAATACACAAAGGAAAGGCTTTGTGACAAGTTACAGAGAAGTTACAGAGAAAACAAAATATTTTCTTTAAAATATAACAAAAAAAAAACAGTAAAACTGTTAACTCAAATAGCCAAAAAATAATTCATCACCAGCTGGTACAAAAAATTAAAAATTCTGTGTTAGCCTTTCATTCGCTAACCAAGAGAGTCCTAACGGATTTATCGCTTAATCTGTTGCAGGGTTCAGTAATGGTCAGTGCAGCCCTAGAAAATTACCTTTCAATGGATGCTGTCAACAAAAAAATCTCTTGCTATTAAAAATAAATTTGGGAATACATTTTTATGTATTTTCAACCACTCCTGACTCTTTTATTCAAACAAACTACGGTTCATCTGTTGTACAAATAAATTTCACTGAAGGCCTTCAGTGGAACAAAAATATAATTTTCCAACAAGAATCAAGAAGTTTGAAAATGCTTGACAATGAAAAAATTAAGTCAAGTCAAGCATGAACGTTTCAATCAACCTTATTTTCAAGTCACATAGTTACTAAAAATATAATAATATATAATCCCTATTCACGATCAAAGATAATAAAAAGTATTGCATCAGATTGTATATACCTTAAGTTTACTAACTGATTAAGCATTTGAGATGCGGACGTAACGCCGTATGCTCCGAATCTCAAGGATAGATAATAATAATAATAATAATATTTATTCACTCAATGTACAAAGATAACAAACAATATGAGTAAATAAATATAAAATCAAAACAGGCCCAATAGAAGGCATCGCCTGTACATAGACCAATAAATTTAAGTTGAAACTGTAGAATGCAAATGACAAAAAAGGACAAAAATTAGCTGCAGTAGATTATGTATTTAGTTGATGTTCGAATTTATGAGTTTATGAATTTCAGTCCTAGATATAGAATGTAGCCACTTTTTTAAATTTCTTTTGAAACAATTTCCGAAACGTAAATCTTTTAAGTCTTTAGGTATAATTTCATAAAATTTAGGCGCTAAATAGAGATATGATCGCTGCATTATAGATTTATGCGGTTGAGGAACTACTGTGCCACGAATTTTGTACCTGGTATAATGATTATGTTTAATTTTTTGGTCGGTGTTTACAAATTTATGGTAGTGAGTGATACTGTGTAAGAAATAAAGCTGTCATATATCATACATTCGAACATCTGCGTATAATTTTTCAGTTCGAAGATATTTTTCTGTCAATATATTCCCAAGGTATTTAATTTTGTAGGATACAAATCTAACTTTCTTTAAAATATAATTGACATGGATGTCCCATCGTAAGTGAGGATCCAAGACCACTCCAAGGCATTTTATGTTGGGCACTCTATTAATTTGCATTTTTTGATCATTAATATTGAAGGAGAAATTTGTGTAATTTGGCAGATGTCTAGCATAAGATCCAAATGGTAAAAAATGTGTTTTAGAGTAGTTAATGCTTAATTTTCTACTGTTAAACCACCGAATAATTTTGATAAAATCATTTTCAATTATATTTTTTAGATCAGACCAGTCAGTGCCTTCATATAATATTGCAGTATCATCTGCAAAACTAGTTATTTTGCCAACACAATTAATTTGGAAAATATCATTTAAATATATATTGAATAACAGCGGACCTAAGACAGTTCCTTGTGGGACACCACCTTAATATACATTTCTTTACTAAATGATCCTGATATCTGCACAGATTGTGGGCGATTTGACAAATAACTTTCGATCAGTGAGTACGCGTTTCCTCTGAAACCAATTCTCTCCAATGCTTCTAATAATAATTTGTGATTAACTGTGTCGAAAGCTTTCTTTAAATCAACAAAAATGCAGATTGAAGGGATTCTGTTATCGATATTTTGATGTATTTGATTTACAATTTTAGTTATTGCGTCCGATGTAGCCTTCCCTTATATATATATATATATATATAGATAGGACCACAAATGAGGTTATAGCCTAGAATAAGCATATAACTCGAGCTTTTATACACGGTTAAAAAAAGAAAACTGGAATTATTAGCTCACATTGTGTAATAAAAATAAATTCAAATTGAGCATCTAAGAAAAAATAAATGATAAAGTAGGGCCTGGTTTAAAAAGAGAGTCCTGACTGGAAAGCCGCTGGGCCTGGTTCCGAAAAACATCTGCCAAACTTCTTCTCATGGCAGTATCAACAATAAAGATTGCCCTACTGATCGCCTACCTTCAGAAATAGAGAAGGTACATCAAGAAGGAGAAGTAGACTATGCATTTTCTATATGCTACTAAAAAGCTAAATCTGTAAAATAACGTCTGAAATTTTCACTTTTTTTTTTTAAATGCAATGTTCCTCATTCTATCATCATTATCAACAGATCATTCCAAAAGAAAATGGTTAATATGCGTAGCATTGTGTTGATTGGTTGCTCAGTTACATGCGATTGAATGTACAAGAACGATCAAGTTTGACCACCATTTTAGGCTAAAATATACTATACAATAAATAATTGAATGGGGGTTGGGGAAATCTTTCTGAAAGTTCTGCATACTTGAATTAATCACATTTGCAGATTCATGGAGACACCAATAAACATAAGCAAAAGCTAGGTGTAGTCTATTTTTAAGTCCTAGGATCACACTATCATTGGGACGACATTCCAGATCTTTGACCGAGTTCTCTAAAACTCTCAGCCCAGGAGATTTCTCGAGTTCTTTCATCATTTTAAGCCATAATTAAAAGATGACTTATGAAACGAATAGTATAGTAATATATTCCAATGGTGACATGGATCTATTTACCCAATCTAGTAGCAACCTTGCGTGCAAATTCCATCAAAATCCGACCGGTACGTTCCAAGTTATACGCGTGCTAATGATTAGCGAACTGACTGACTGCCGAAAATGAGTGACATGGTTTTTTGTGACGTCACATAACATCCAAAAAGATAATATCTCATTGTCAAACTATTTCGTCATACAGTACTTCCTCGCCAGTGGCGTTGTAAGTAAAACAGCTTCTCAGAATTAACTTGCAGCTAGCAGCAAGATAAAATTGTTCTGATTATGAGATTGTAAACACATACTGCACAAACTTTCTAATCCATTTTTCTCGTTACATCATGTTTTGAGATCCTTTGACGTGAACAGCTAATCAGCAAGTGACATCTTTATATTAAAGCCTTTATTGTTGACAAAAATGAATGGCGTAAAACACAAGACCGTATTCAGAACTATTTACACCAAACACTGAAGATTATTTTTACATACCTGAATTGAAATAGATTCGTGATCATTACCAGCAATATATATTAAGTGACATATAAATCCGAACACCCAGTTTAAATGGTTTTATTTTAATAAAATTTTGTAGCATAATAAGTAAATGATAAAAATTTCAAAATGATTGCACTGCTTTAAAGCCCTTTGACCTTTAATAACGTGTGGATGCACCCTGATGTGCTAAGCATTCTCCAACGCGCCTAGGCATGCTTCTGATCAGGTGGTCAATGTCCTCCTGTGGTATCTCATTCCAGGCAACCACCAACTCCTCTCGAAGTGCTTCTAGAGTCTGAGGAGGACGTTGCAAATTGAGCAATCTCCTACCCATCATATCCCACACGTGCTCAATTGGGGATAAGTCGGGAGATCTTGGTGGCCATGGTAACAATGTGACATCATTATGTTGAAAGAAGTCTATTGTGACTCTTGCAACATGTGGTCGGGCATTATCTTGTTGGAAAGTTGGATCTGCCAGGATGTCAAGATAGGGTAAAAGATGGGGTTCTAGAACTTCGTGGATATAACGCTGCGCGTTGATGTTACCTCTGATGAAGATTAATGGTGACCTGGAACCATAAGCTATAGCACCCCAAACCATAACTCCAACAGTGTGATGAACATGTCTTTCAACAAAAAACTGTGGATTCCTCCTTTCACCACGTCGCCTTCTAACCCTGGCCCGACCATCGTGCATGCCTAAACAAAATCGAGACCCGTCACTAAAGACAATACTGTTCCATTCCTGATCCCAGAGTGACCGTTGTCTGCACCACTCAAGACGATTACGTCGGTGTTCTCGAGTTAAAGGGAGGACCCAGTGTGGCCGGTATGAAAACAAGCCAAAACTTCTCATTCGTCGGTAAACACTTCGCATGCCAATAGGTCTTCCGTGTTCTGAAAACCATTCATTTGCAATGGACCTGGTAGTGGAGAAACGGTCCCTTAAGGCCAATAATCTTAGGCGGCGATCGTCACGGTCTGTTGGTCTACGGAGGCGTCCAGTGCCCCTTGCTCTTTGCGTACGGCCTTCTCGAAGCCATGCCTGACAACACCTAACCACAGTATCTACACTTCTTTGCACTCTAACTGAAATTGCCCGAAAAGAAAGTCCCACTATACGGCCCCTATCAAACTCACTAAGTTGACGAAATCGTACAGGTCTCCGTACTCTAGGCATCGTAACCGATCGTAAAGGATGTCAAGAACCAAAATCCGCCAACGTTGATTCTTTACTGCGGCTGAAATATTCATTTTTAGAGCTTTAGTGAATTAAAAAAAATCAGTGTAAAAACCGGAATGTCCAACTGATAAGGCTGAAAATTTTTTCACTTGTGATTTACAGTAAGATAAATACATTCACCAACTTTTATTAAAATAAAACCATTTAAACTGGGTGTTCGGATTTATATGTCACTTAGTATAGTTAGTGTCGTCTTTTCTTTGAGCGTCGAAACTTTTTTAGATAAAAAACGTTGTTTAAAGTATGAATCCGTAGCGTGCTAAACACCACAACAAAATACGTCAACACATCTGGCGTTGACAAATCCATTAGAGTTGTGTGTCACTTATGGATATTTGGTAATTTGCATGTCATT